CTTAAATATTTTATAAATATATATTTGTTTGTTGGTGTGTCCTGCAGGTTGTTTGTGTTTAATGCAAACTATAGTTACGGTGTAGTTCGGTATCTTGATGAAGTTGACCAGGTCAAAGTTCATTCGGAAATAAAATCGTCGACGCGATGTAATGCGAATGCCCATTCAGCTTGTCGTGCGAGCATTGTGCGACCATCTCCTTGCGCGTTCATGCACCTTCAATGAGCGTTTGATTATCCCGAATGCCCCGGAACCCAACATTGTGCGCATGCGCAGTTGAAATACCGAAACATTTCGCTTAGTACATTATGTAGTTGGGACTCTCTCAAATACTAGACTCTATAGTCAGGACTGACCCAACTAAACTTTGGGGCCATTTCTTACATGTTCACACTTCCCCCCCCCCCCTTTTTTTCAGGCTTGTTCATTGCACACTACCAACTTTTCTGAGGGAAATTGGGGAGGAGGAGGGAGATTAAGTTCTTTGTGGTGTACTGAAGATTATTTTAAAACAAACTATCTTAAAGGGAAAATACAACATTTGCAAACATCAAAAAATAAAACTACCAAATCATTTTGAAATACCTTGCTGGACTGTTACAAGTGTTAGTGAATGACAGTGTAAAGCATCCTGTAAAATCATGGCACCTGGTATACTGTCATTTTCAAGAAAAGTGGTGTTTTTGTATCAATTTGACCATCAGTTGACCATCGCACTTGTTTGCAATCGATTACACACCTATGAATGGGTACAAGCCAGCTAGACTGGTTCCCTGACCTTACAATTTCCCAATGTATGTAAACTGCTCTGTTTCTTCTTATATGGAGTCAGGGAACCAGACTACAGGAAAACGATTGTTTTTCTTGGTTTTTATAGCATTTTCGAACCCAAAACCTCAAAAAAGTCAGTGTAACTATATTTGCTATATATTTCCAACCCCCCAATTCCATCCATTTCTGAAAATTACAGCAAAAGCAAATGATGTATATTCCCTTTAAGTTCTTTGTGGTGTACATACGGATTATTTTAAAACCAACTATCTTAACTTAGGGGCAACTAGTGTTAGGTACAAGTGTAAATGGTCATTTCAAGAAACTGTCTGCAATCCAAACTGATGATAAGAGTAGGCCTACACTGTACACATCATAATGACTCAATTGAGGGTCGTCTAATTTGTACATGATTGCCCTGCAGATTTGGCAGATCTTAACGGAACCACAGACTCATTAAAGCCTTGCGCCACTTGCAGGCCGAATCAATTCCAAGGGTTTCCTCTTTCGCACACCCTCTCGGCGTGCGTGCAGACCGTGTTTACTTCAGGAAATAACCTGATCACTGCTGCCCTTTCCTGTCTCAGCTTGATACACCCAGAAAGAGATAAGAAATTCTAGTCTTTCGGCAAAACAGAAATATGTAGGAAAGTGTTAAGGCCATTGATTGACTGGATAATAATAAGTCCACTTTGCTTTGGGAATAAGGAATTGTGGATCAGCCCTCAGGCAAAACTGTGTCTCTGGAAATGGTGTCTGGTAAGTGGATCGTTAACCTAATTTGGGTGTGTTTTGATTACTTTTTTTTACAAGTAGGCCGGCTTGTGAAGGGGGATAATCATGTTGGCCCAATTTCAGGGCTCTGCTTAGCGTAATTAATTTTGTTGCTAAACTATTGAAGAAAAAGTTTGAACTAATGGTTATTGTAGTTTGTACAGTTCACAGGTTAACAAGCAATTTGGGCTTGTCAGCACGTGTTCTTTAACTTAAGATTTTGTGCTTACAGGGTATGACGTATCTATCTTTTTAAGCACTGCATGTCTTGATGTACACATAGGCCTACACGTTTGCAGTGTTGGAAAGAAAATCTATTTGTGCTTATTCGACTAGTTGGATGAAAAAGTTGTTTTTAAAATGTATAAAAAGTGCAAAGTAATGAAATCCCCAGAAAGTTGTATTGTGTTCAGAATGGCCAGGGCTACATTTATATGTTTGAAAAAAAAGTAGAAGGAAAGTGAGAGGAAAGTGGAAGGAAAGTGAAAGGGAAGTCATAAATTTGAAATGAACCTCATACTAGTAACTGACATAAATTTGGCATTCAACTTCTATTTTGAAGACTAAGAGCATACATACATGTACATGTACATCGTATATTGTGCGGCTCTGATAACATTTAAGAAAGATCAAAGTCAGCACTGTCCTGTCTGGATTCTCAAGAGCACTTTGTGATCTGGAGTGGGCAGTGGCCCAAATGAAAAAGAGGATGGTCCTCAAATTAGGGTGTTCAACATTTTTTGCGAGCTATAAATAAAATGCACAAAAGCAACACAGATAGTACTACTATACACATGTACATGTGAGTATAAAACAGGAAAACAAGCACCTGCTATTACAATAAAAATGTCTAAACTGCCTTATTCTACTCGCTGATGTTCCAGAGCCACCTCGCAAAAGTACAGGATATTATGCCAGATTTTATTTTCAAAATTTAGACTTTGGCTTGCATGCATGCAGACATTTGTTTTCAACACCTTGCCACATAACGTACACTGTACATACATTGTACATCTTTTCCTCTTGTTTATCACATGCCTAAGACTGAACATTCACAGTTTGTGATCTTTATTTCTAGATGGATTACTGGCTTGGCATATTTCACACAGTATACTGTTTGTGTAAACAGGGCCAACTAATGCACATTTTTTAAAGCAACCGTCTCTTCTTGGGGGGTTGTTCTAATGGGGGGGGGGGGGAATTGGGAAATAAAGAGGTTCACTGCAGGTTTTGGTGAACATTCTTTCTGTGCTGAAGTGGGCACTTCATGATATGTACCCCAAACCTGGTTGGCAATGCCTCCTTGAAGTCTACGTGTACTTTACCATCTAAATGCGTCAGCCATCAGAACATCCCTGAAAGAGTCACTCAGCCTACATTGTATACACGTTGTTCAAGAACCCATCCACACAATACAGAGTTTTGGAGTATATTTACAAACAAGCTACCCGGAATGAAGTTTGATCTGAATACCTCCGAGTTGAATATTAATCTTAGTTTCTTGTCAAAATATTTAATCCTTAACTTTTGAACTTGAGCAGGCGTGCTTGACCTTTACACAGCGTCATTGTTGTGATTTTGGAGTGGTCCAGTGTATAGTGGCTTCCATGTACACGTATGCTGTATAGTCTAGTAGGAGCTAGCATGAGTTCCTTTTCAAGATTCGTGTGGATCTGGTGTGGATATAAGTGCACAAATGTATGTTGTGACTGATAACTACCAACAAGAAATGTTGGGTATGATTATTCTTTACAATCTTTTTGAGAGAATCTGTAATGCACCGTATACAGTGTATATTTAAACACTGTACATGCACATGGCTGTACTTCAAAATGTGAGAGATTCATGACTGCAGTTGGTCAACAAATTCACACAAGTTTCAGTTGACTGTCAACGTTTTTTCCAGGTACAGGTTTTGTGTAAATTTACACACACTGATGACAGTTTGCCCAGCCATTTCCAATGCATTTTGTATGTCATGTATGTACTCTTTGTACTTGTAAATTCTTAATTATGGGTTTTTTTGGGCAAGTTTTCATTGCGTTATCCATGTGTCTACATGTAAAAATGTTCACATGTACAGGTACGCTGTACATGTATACATAGACCGTACATGTACATGTACATGTACATGTACATGTCATGAGTGGCCAACTCAAGTGGTTTCTCTGTGCATGGAGTAATGTTCACCTGTGGAATTTCGTAAGTTGATCATCCATGACCTTAAACTCTGGGGTCCTAATTCTTCATGAATGTTACACTCTCAATTTCGTTACTTGGTCCTGTCAACATTACTCCATTGCCCCACTGGTTTGCGTCCCTCAAGAATTGGCTACATCCATGTAGCAATTTGGCATACAGCCATGCTTTCCAAAGAGTAAGGTTATGGTATAAAAAAGCTGGTCACTGCATTAACACTGCATTCAAACACAACTTGAAGGACGGGTGAAATTTGAAATCAGTGGAAAATTATTGAATTCCCTAGGTGTGTTTTAGCCAAGGGGTTCACTAATGACATGAAATTGGGACTTGAGCCCCTCGACTTCCCCCCACCCCCACCCCTGACACCTGGAATAGGCTCCATTTTGTTACCAGTACTAGCATGACTAGGGGTGTGTATCGGAACCAGGTACCCAAGTACCCGACTGCTGATGTCAGGAACCGGTTTCAGATTATGGGATCGGGTACCTGTAACCAACCTGACAAATTACTGAGTAAGTTCTTAGACAATGAAAAAGAAAGGTTTTGAAAGCCATTTGTGTGGAATTTTCAAAATGAAAACCTGGCTATAGTATAGGCCAACATGGAAAACCCAAAAAGATATTCCACGTTTGTGCATATTTATGCGCGACAGATGACGCTTGTGAAAGTTGCAGTTTTACACCGTAAAGCTAAAGCCTTCGAAAAACTTCTGGGATTTGAATTTTGGGGTTAGGTTTCTTTTACGAGTACCCAGTTACCCGTGTTTGCTTTAATTGGGTACCCTGTTCCCGTACTACCCGTAAATGCACACCACTAACCAGTACACATACATATGCTACATGTTGGCTTTGATATGTGTCTGAATTTTACATCAAGTTTTAATTTCTAACCTCCTACTATTTTTTTTCTTTCTATTTTTTAATTTTTTAATACTTCAAGATTATATATAGTGTTTATTACTGGAAAGTGTGTTCTTGAGTGCTTTAATGGCTACATTTTGATTAAAATCAGTAGTTTGAAATTTGACCTCAAAATTACGAGGTACAGCCCGTCTCATGTGTAAAGCGTACTTTAGTCAAATGTCAGGTGCCGGCCTGTACATATGTGAGATGAAAATTCAGACGTTTGTTTTCATAATGTCTGATCCCAGCTTTTTGGGGGAAAAGGCTGTCTGTGTTTCTCAAGCTTCCCTAGAGGTTTTGGAGACTGCAAATTTGTAAAGTAACTGCACAATGTTTGCCTTCCTCCTTCAGATTCCTCTTGGATAGTGCCTTAAGGTCAGGTAAACTGTGCGTGGCTATCTTACGGAAGACCAAAAGGAAAGCGCCCAGGCCCCCTCCAGGTAGCAGCCCAGCCCAGACGTTGGACCAGACCAGCCCCCTGCCGGCTCGCAGACAGGTATCCCTCCCGCCGCCAAGCAGACAACCACTTAGTGCCCCTTCCCAGGCAGCCGATCTCAGCAACGCTGCGCTTCATGCCTCGCAACATCTGAGCGCGATTTCCCCCGAGACTGAAAGGCGTGCCGGCATCAGCGGTCAGCCTCGCGGGACGCAACATCTGAACGCCATTTCCCCCGAGGCCGTGGCCAAAAACAGCAACGGCCCGGTGCGCAGCACACACCATCTGAGTTTGATCTCGCCAGAAGACCAGATGAATTTCAGCAGAGGTCAACCCTTACCCGTCGGAAGTATGTGGGGCACCGGCGGGGAGAGGAGCCAAAGTACAAAGAGAGCAGCACCCAGACAGCCCCAAGGGACGGGTGCCAGTCAGGAGACACAAGCAGGCAGGATGGATGAGCACGTACCCCCATCGAAGACGGTCAAGGTATCGGAGACGGCACCCCCTGTGTCGGTGGCCAGGAGTGACTCGGTGCTATCCAAAATGTTACCAGAAGTCAAGCGGAATGTAAGTGCAGATAATCACCTCTCTCATCATGTTCTCTGTTGTCTTTGTGAGTACTTTTTGAATATTTTCCAAAGTTTTATGTACTAGGAAACTTGCTTTATGGACACTTATGAGGAAGAGACCAAACTGGTACCGAATCTGTTTGAATATTATTCCATCTCTTATTTTTACATTTGTATTGCATGTTCCTGGCACAAATGCAAACCGGGTTTGGTTTTGAAATGAAGCAGAAAAATATTTTTAAAAAACAGTACTTAAGCCAATTTTTTTGTAAGCTTTTGCCTATGAAAACACCACTGTTTGACACATGAATATGAGAAGGTCCATTCGTATGAAAAAAACCAAAAACAAAACAAAACCATAAAACACCATTAAATGGCACTAAAAAGATTGAACATAAAGGTAGAGTAAACAAAACATTCCATTTATGGGCCATTTAATGTCAGTTTTACATATTACCAATACATGTACATGTACCTGCACCACACATGTGTACACACGTACTTCAGCTTCAGACAATTTTTTTCAATGAAATGTGCATACATGTACATGTACCTTCCAATGGCTGAATTTGAGGAACATGTCAACATGACTGTGAAATCCAGCCCTGTTTATCATTTCTCATTTTTTGGCGTCTAGGGATGACCATTTTTCAACAGATGGAAAATGTGTTCCGAACACCTGCGTCTTTCTTGACACACAGTGACCTTTTCCGGCAGCACTCCAAAACAAAATGTCGCAGAACCATTTTGACAGACTTTGACACTTGAGCAAATTAACCATTTCCCCCCTGCACTCCGATGTACCAGGCACGCAAGGGAGTTGAGATTCCCTTGGAGACACAAAACATGAAGCCACATTTGTTTGTCCATCATTTTTATCCTAAATGGTGACATTGTCCATTAAATTCAAGATCGGTGTCGTGCAAGCTTAAAACTGAAATGTGATATTTACAAAATCCGGCTTTTTTAAACAAGACGATGCAAGCTGAGTAAAGCTGGTCCCAGAGTGCCTAAAATTCTATTCGATTACAGGCGATTCCAAATACAGTGCGCCACCAAGAGTTTCCCACGGAGAGCCCCTTTTTCAACTTTACGGTCGACAAAAACATGGCCGTCTTTTTTGAATGAATGGCCGCGATTTGAAGGAAATGAGGAAAAATTTGAGGAAATGTTTGATACATTGCAGCCTAGCATTCTGAAGCCTCACAAAAAAATGCCATCTTGGTAAAAAGAAAAGAAAAGAAAGATTATTGAATCAAACACGAAACTAACAATTTTAAGTGTCTCGCGCCTAGCAAATTTGTCGAATGTCTCCCACAATGCTCTGCGAAAAAATGGACTCTTCTTGGCAAGGAATCTTTTTTAGGAATCGCCTGTATTGATTCAGATGATTGAGAGTAGCTGAAAAGTTTGTCAAATAAGTAAGGTGATGGAAATGAAAATGTTATCAACTTTCAACTTATTGTCTGCACATGTATCATGTAAGTATATGAAAGAACCAGCGGCAGGCTAATGCGCATGTGGTGAGGGATGCAACAACACACAGGCCTACCCGAATAGGAAAGGGGTCGTAAAGCTGGTCGCAGGCCAGCGTAAGTCACAAATGACAGTCTGGCTGTAAGATAGGTAACCAGTCAAGTTAAGACGTGAGTCAGTGAGATAGGTATACATACTACATAGAAGACATTATAACACCTCACCCACAGGTTCTGTATCTTGATTGGCCTAAAGCGAGTCACATGGTATTCACTATTTTTGCTATCTTGCTGTGCTATCTTGCGTATATACATGTAGCACCATACCCTTAGCAACCAAAGTACTATACCCTTAGCAACCAAAGTACTAAGGCTTACAAAGTACTATACACAAATGCATATATGGGTGTGCGTGTTGCGCGTTCAAACATTTCGTGAAGGGTTGGTTTGAAAAAGGGCAAGTAAATTTTCAACTATAATTTCGTATTCAAATAGAAGTACATTTTATTTTTATTTAGATGAAATGAATCAGATATTGCTTAAAATCAAGCAGAATCTGTGGGAGAGGTGTTATAAAACAAACATTGACTGTTTTATCTTGTGGTATAGTAAAACTAATGTATGTTTGATAAAACTATGTTTGATGTTGCTGACATTTTCCTGTTTTTTTCTATCTTTGTTTTCAGAAACGGGAAGTTGTGAAAATCCACCTTGTCAAGAGCAAAGGAATACTGGGTATCCAGATCGCTGGCGGCAGAGGGTCCAGGAAGGGAGACATTGGTATCTTTGTGGCTGGTATAGACTCTGGAAGTCCTGCTGAAAGGTGAGAAATTCAAGCATCAATTCCAACAATGTCTTTTTTTATTCATGCCAACCAGACTAACACACACTGTCAAAGTTACTGGTATGTGGCTATGGCTAGCCAGTACTGCTGATTTGTATTGGAAGTGGAATTAGCCGCATCCATTGCGCATGTGTAATTGCAAGCCATAGTCAAGTACATGTAACTTGGACAAGGCCTTGGAACCAAGTACTCCTATGTGTGATTATTTTATGTGACAAGTGCTAGTCATACAATTATTAGCCCAGACTTGTGCATCAAAAGTTGAACCAAGGTGATCCCATTGTAACAGCGCTTGAGATACCCAAATGCCTCACCCCCCAGCTAAAAGGAAAACAAAAATGTTAATTTGTTCATGAAGAATATTCAATGTACTTATGTCATAAAAGTAAAGATGGTTTAAAGGTCTTTATTAAAGGATGCCACTGCTTGCCTAGAGGCACAGTATCCAAAAACACAGCACTAAGGGTGCTTCTTAAAATATTTTAATTCACACAAACATTTCTGTGTTGCTTTTTAGGGCTGTCCTGAATATACTCCAAATATTCGACCATCAACCGAATATTAGAATAGCTTTCAAATGAATATTCGAAGACAAAGAAAACTACACACATACACACGGCATTTTAATGTCAGGAGCCACTTTTTTTGTGGAAAGTAATTTTTTTGTCGATGGCAGTTCATTGTTTATTTCCTTTTAGCAGGTTAAAGCCATTGACAATTATATAATACTTACTGCAGAACACTCCATATCGATCGCCGCACACAAAGTTTAACTGGCGCTCTGCATGCAACTTTTGACCAGCGCGGCAAGTATTTGCAGCTGGCAGTTTCGAATATCTGAATATTCTGTCAAACACAGTTTCGAGTAATTGAATACTAAATTATTAAAAAGAATGGACAGCCTTATTGCGTGTACATGCATCTGTTTTAGCACATTTAAGTCAGGTGAAATGTTAAGTTGGTGCTTTGAAACATTTCAGTTGGCTGTACTCATGTAAATGCAGTATTGGTCAATACTTCTCATTTTCAGTTTTTTATTCGTCATTTCATTTTAGTTGTTTCATGTTCATTCTTTTACATTGTTTTTGACAAGTGACAAACACAAACGGTACTTAAGAAAAAAGATTGAGTCCAGTGTGACTGAATGTAGGCCGGGTCATTTTCTTTAAAATAAATAAAAAAGTTCGTAACCAGATCAGAGTTACCATCACTTGTTTAATGGTCACCAGGGATGGACGTCTTCAGAAGGGGGATGAGATACTGATGATCAACGGTCACAGCCTGATCGCCGTGACTCACCAGGACGTAGTGGACATCCTCTGCCGGTCCGGAAGCATCGTCCAACTGGTCATCGCGAGAAAGGTACGGTCAGCTTTTGTCAGGGCTGCTGATGACAGATGCCTTAAAAAGTTTGAAAGGGGGATAGGGGAGAGGGGAGGGGGATGATTAGTAATCAAAGTAACAAAAGCATCTTTGTGAGAAAAGTACTGCATTGATGTGTGCAGTTTAAATCATATTTTTTCCTTGTTATTATTTTTTAAAATATAAACTATCAGAGGAACAGCAGTTTATATTATTATTCTATTGTATTAATAAATTCCTTAGACAGTTTACCCATTCCTATTGGTCGAGAGCCTGACATGTGGCCAGTCTTAAACGGTTGATAAAACACCCACTGGCTGGTCTTAAATATTTTTCAGTGTCTGTGAAATTTTTACTCCTATGAAATCCGGTCTCTTTTATCCTTGTATTGGTTGAACGTTCACAGTCCTTAGTTAGGCCCAAACAAACAAATAGTTCTGCTTCCGATTACATGCCATTGGCAAATAGGGTAGGTAGGTAGGTAGGGAATTTTTTTTTTTTTTTTGGGCCAATTTTTTTGTGTATGATCATATGGAGGCGTCTGCATGTAGGCAAGGGTAAAAGGTAGAAATTGATGTGTTTTTTTTTTTTTTTTTTTTTCATTTTTCCCATAAAAAAAATTAGGGTAGGGGCTGTCTGAATAGGGTAGGTAGGGAAACCGGAAGCAGAAGTATCTTTTTTTTTTGGCCTTAGGCATGCGCAATACTACCAATGAGTTCGTACATGTATTTCATAGTCCTAAATTCACACTACACTGGCAAAGCTGCATTCTGCGCCACATCGCACAGTATGCGCAACTTGCGTGCAATCTCTGTGTGAGGAGTTGTTTAATTTTGACCAAAAAGATATTTAATAATTTGGCTCGGGTCATTATCAATGTCCAGACTCCAAGCCAGTCTGAAACATAGTGTTTGAAGTCTATGGTTACATTGTATCTCTGTATCTGGATGAAGCTGTTGCACATGTATGGAGTTCGGTAAAGAAATAAAAGGTCTTTCACTTGATAAAACAAAAGGTCTTTGATCCCATAGGCTGTCAGTACCAGCGGGATGACTAAGCTGTCAAAACGTGTTACCAACTCTCACACTTTTTTCAAGGGTGCGAGCCATCAAATATCCCCCTTCAGTATCTAACACAGATATGTCAGCAGAAATCCCATGGGGCTACGGGAAAAGGCTGTGAGAAATCTAATCCACAAGCTCAGAAGAAAAACCCAGGGTATGCTATTGGATGGTTGGCTTAGTGAACACAACTAAATTCAGTAATTAGGGCCTATGCTTTGAGCTAGTAAACCTGACTTGTGTACAATATTTCTCCAAGGGCTGCAAAAGTGGCTGAGTGTAAGACTACGTTGGCTACGGCTGGCATTAAGACATACGTCTATGGGAATGGATGTAGCCACCTCTATGGGCTCCGTGTGTTAACAAAAGAGGGCATGTTTTTACCTCTTTTGAGAGCTCCGTGGACAGGACACACAGCGTGCGCGTACTGTACTGTTAATGGTTCGCGTGCGAAGTATGCATGATTTCCTGAATGTGCGAAAGTTATAGCCACCGCATCGTCGCGTGAGCGTCAGGCGTCATCGGCGCGCGAATACATTCGAATTCAACTTGCGATGGTCTCAGAGACTAATCCCAGCCTCCAATAACTTTGGATACATTCAAAATACGTAGTGGATGGATCGGGAACCAGTCTAGGTCACCCCCAACTCTCATTTTCTGGCCGTTGATGGGGTACTTGTGCATGTAGCCCATAGGCGTATGTGTTGGGCTCCTTCTGAGTCTCTTGGCTAGGGCTATTGTCTAGGTCTTGGCCAATTACATGTACAATTACATGGGAACATGCTGACAGTAGATGTAGCCATAGCTCAGTCTTCAGGCTTACAGACAAACAGCAAGGTAATTGGTGGTTTAGATGCAGTCTAAGACTACAGGCAGAAAATTTTGCCTGGAATCCTTGAGTTCATGGCACAGGATCCTCAAGAGTTTTGGACCTCTTCATGATGCTGAAGAATAATTCCTTCAAGTTACTAGGCTTTAAGAAAAGTTCCAAACAGTTGCCAACAGTTCCACTTCAGTGGTACGTGAATACTTTTGTGATGAATGCAAAGATGATTTTCTGAGAGGCTTCGATCGACATGATGCAAGTTTTTACCTTGTAGGCTTCAGAGACTCAAGAAAATCAGATGCAGAACATTTTCAACAACTATGTTTTTTAATTGTTTAAATAGGTAATTTTTTGGCCTTTCAAAATCCTTTTCTTCAAAGCTTAAAGGGAATATACAACATTTGCAAACATCAAAAAACAAAACTACCGGTACCAAATTATTATTAAATACCTTACTGGACTGTTAGTGAATGACAGTCTAAAGCAGCCTGTAAAATCATGGCACCTGGTGTGCTGACATTTTCAAGAAAAGGGGTATTTTTTGGAAAGGAACTGGCTTTTTTCAAATACTGCCCCCAAATTACCATATTTAGTTAGTCTGAATTTTTGATTACACATCTATGAATGGGTACAAGCCTTCCAGACTGCATGGGTCCCTGACCTTACAATAAGTTGCTCCATTTCAACTTAAGCGAGGTCAGGGAACCAGACTACAAGAAGATGATTGTTTTTCATGGTTTTTTTTCTGGCATCTACGAACACAAAATTTCAAACAAGTCAGTGTAACAATATTTGCTATAAAATACTAATCCCCCAAATCCATCCATTTCTTAAAAATTACAGAAAAAGCAAATGTTGTATATTCTCTTTAACAGGAAGTGGATCTGAAATTAGGCTTCAGAAATTCCAATCTGTGACGTGGAACATTTTCTGTAGCAGATGTATATGTATTGGGCCACTGATTTTTGTTTTCTTCAAATATTTGTTTAAAAGAATATTCTTGGTAAAATTCCACAACCTCTCAGAAACCATTTTCTGTGAAGCTTTTTCAGGGTAGGTTTGTTCTTCAATTGGCTTTAGATGTGGAAAATTCAAAATGTGACGTTGAACAATTTCTACATACATGTAAGCTGTCATTGGACACTATAACATGAATTCATATGATGGTTCATTAAAAACATATTCTTGGTATAAACTGTTTTGATATAAGGAAAGCTTCTAAGAAAGAAAAAATACTCCAAAGATCTTGACCTTTCCCAGATTAAGTGATGCTTCATCCCCTGTGAACTTGAAGCCTAATAGTAAGCACATGCTTTTCTCAGGAATAGTGCCAACCCGTACCAGTAGGCGTAGCTCGCAGTAATAGACTTACCATCGGCCCCATCTAACCTTTGACCTCAACCTTACCCAGGTGAATTGGGTCAGTTTTGGATGTTTTCCAGCTTGAGTTCATTGCCCTAGCCTTTAAGTGGAAGGTCCTCCCGAGGAGGTTTGTTGTGTGTTGTGTTTTAGGGAGGGGGAAATTTTATGCTGTTTGAAGAGATAAGCCATTTTCCTGTTACGCTGGCTGACTTTTTCGTTTGGGCGTGACGATTTTGTCCTAAGGTCATACGCTTTGGCAAGCAAATCTATTTATATCAAAGTGTTTATTTTGCTTTGTTGAAGGGGGAGGAGAGGGGGGGGGGGTAGTGGTAGGGGTAGGGGCTATTGGGCATAATAATATGTACTGCGGAATTGTGTTATGAAGTGCTTTGTTCATGAAAACTGCTGTTTTGAAGTTGATGCGTTGTCTAACTGGTAACCAATGTAATTGTAGAAGGAGTGGAGAGGCATGTGTGTATTTGGGTTGAGATAATGTGATACGAGCAGCATTGTTTTGAAGCCGTTGGAGTCGATCAACCTCATACTGATTAATACCATTGAGAAGAGAGTTGCAATAATCGAGTCTGGATAGTACAAGTGCTCGGACAGCGGCATAGTATGTCCTCCATTTCATGCAGGTGGTTCCCAGATGCTTTTGTCTCAACTTCACCTGAAAAGAGCTAGGTTTTTAGGCCCCCTTACAGTGGGAAGAAGGGGTAATTCTTTCCCCCCCCCCCCCCACCTTCTGATCTTTACGGAAGCAATGACAGACATACACAAGTACATACATAAAGGTTATGCAAAGATTTAGCTCCATGGGAGAAGGTGCTTTGTAAATGTTACGGTCTGAGACTGAGACGGGCGTTTTCCTCCTCATGGTCACTGGAAAAGAAACCAAACCCCCCAAGGGCTAAATCAAGTGGCACAAGTGGAAATCCTTTTTAAAATTTGTAAAGTGCAACAGTTTTTTTGTTTTTGTTTGCAATATTTTGATCCCTTTTTATGCACACAAGGTTTTTAATGTTCAGACAGCCCTGGCAATCTCGGTGGTCGAGTGGTTACGGTGTCTGCACTGGCAAGCAGGTGGTCGTGTAAATTCGGTCCCACGTGAGTGTTTTATTACTCGCAAGCTCTCAGACAACACTGAGCATATAGTGTTTATAAAATCATAACTGCAGACAGTGGGAGGGGGGGGGTGAGGGGTAGAGGTTAACACCCCCCCCCCCCAAAAAAAAAGGAGTGTGGAAGGGAGGGCAGAAATAAGGGAGGGTTAGCCGTACATCTGATCAATGTGCTGAACGTGCTCTGTGTACACGGCCTGCTTGCACATATCCGTGGCTTAAACCATCAGCCACAGTAATACCCCCTCCACCCATTAATGATAATTTTCTCACTACGCCTCTTTAATGCAGGACTAAACGTGATATTGAAAATCCCAAAATTCACATTAAACCAAACGGACGCCGCTTTAGTGACTTGCATCTTGTGGATGCTGAAAGCGCACTGTTAACCCCAGGAATTGGCCCGAAATCAGCTTTTGTTAGATAACATCTCCCACGTACCTGTTCCATCCGATTCCCTGGGTGTGTAAACCCTAAACCAGGCTGGTACAGCCTCTGGCGATAGGCACTCTACGTGTCTCGTTGGTCAGGTGAGTCAATACACCTGTTACGTGTTACGTACCTGAACGTGAGTTGGAAAGTGAGGGGAATTGCGGAGACTTTCATCTACCTACGACTATTCTATGACACAATTTTACTTCTTTGAATTGAATGTCTTCCCAGGTTTCTGAATTATGTTGCAGAGATTTTGTCAAGTCCTTAGATGCTAATCATACAGTTGCCTAGTCATCAAAGTCACAAGCTTTTTAAAAACGCACCTTGCAAATTTACTGTGAATTGACTTGTGATTTATTCCTGATGGTCTTGGCATCTACGACAACAATTTTTCCTCTGTGAATTTGAATATCTAGCATCCCCTCAACAGTTACAGACGGATTGAGGGACTTTTTGAACGTGTTACGCAATTTGACTATGGTCCCAACTTTGGATGGGACCATTCCAACTTTACCTGGGACCATCCCAAGTGTGTTCCAGTTGGACCACTTGTGTCAGGATAGACCAAAGTTGGGACCAATGGTCAGGTTGGGGCGTAATCTGTTGGCTTTAAGCCTGAGGCTTATACGAAGAAGGCATGGGTTTGTGAAGGTTTAGATGAAAAGTAATCAGTCGTACCTTGCACCAATTTACGAAGTGCAATCTACTATTCATATCACAAAGTCCTTATACCTCTTTGACATTGACATATGCCTGTAATGAACCCATAACCAATGTTGTAAGAATGCCAAGTTTACAAGTAGATCATACATGTATAAAAGTGGCACCAAACAGCAATAGAGGGCTTTCAGTATTGAATGTAGTTTTCATGTTGTTTTGATCAATGGGATATTGAACCTGACTGTTAGTAAATAAACCACATACACCATACTTAACCTTTTAGTCCAGTGGGTTCAAAGGGAATTCCCTAGACAGCAAACCTGGATGATGTGGGCTCAGCTTGATATTTGCCTGTATCCCTAAAGTTGAAGAAAAGTTTGAAGGTTCATGCCCGGACCTATACCTATACAAAAGTTTACATGTATGTCTGTTCTTGGACATTAAAATTGGTTGGCATTCTAGATTTCATTTTAATGTAGTTGAGAGCGTTCAGCAGGGTACAGGGTGTGTTCTAATGGAACATACCCGTACTGTTTTGGCATCGAGTCCAAGAATTGTGTTGACTTTTATTAATGCCATATCATTGTGCTGCTGTGTACTTTTTCTGTATAGCATGATCAATAATATGAGTGTTTTGGCAAACTATATGCAGGCATGCAACTTATCTTTGGATCAGCTGATTCCCTCGTTTTTTACTTCTCATGAATGCAATTACAATTGAAAAACACTGTACAAAGTCATGTGTGGTTTGGAATTTCTGCGTTTTTTCTACATACCCAGTTGCATGCCTGTACATGTACTTTAGAAGAATCCGGGCACGTGATCACTGTACACTCATGAGGGCCCCCTCCAATGGAGAAACCATGGTGCATCCTATTGTCACTTGTGCACAGCAACTACCCTGTGACGGATCATCCGAACAATAGCTAGCACAACATATTTGCCATTGAATGGGCCTTCATGATAGAATTGATAGCGTGTCTGGTTTGCTACCACTGCCAGTATGTATGTACATGTATGCCAAGTATGCACCGGTAGGTGTACATATACATGTACCGGTATATGAACATGTTGCTTTCATGTTCAACACAAAATGTACTGCCTGTCATTTATGCAAGGGTGTCACTTACAAATTTGCAACATGTAATTGCTAAGCTAGCGTCAGTCATCAGTAAAAAGTTGAGCAAAGACATTTGACTAGAGCAGGATTTGAACCTGCAACCTCTAGAGCACAGTCCTTACACTCTGCCAACTGAGCTATCCATCCCTGTATTGTCAGTCTGTGAGTTTGTCAAGGAGCTTACAAAGCTCTTCAAAACAAATTGAGTGCATATAAATGTTATTTTTAAAGGTCTTGTTTCATTTTCTTTTGACAGAGGAAACACCGCCACCGCAATCGTCAACAGCACCTCGCCCTCAACCAAACAGCGTCCAGCACCTCAGAGTCCGACAGTATCTCCAGCCAGCACTCCACGCCCCGCAGCTCACCGCGGGGGTCGGCGCGGCAGATCCAAGAGAGGAATAATGCCGCAGCGGTACTTAGCCCTAACCTCCTGGGAACCGTCGCAGACGAGACTGATCTTGGGACCCCTAGGTAAGGAACCCTCTCCCTCCCCCCCCCCCCCCTTCCCACGGACCGTACTTTGAAATTCATTCAATTTCCAGTCGCTGATCAGAAACAGCTTATCGTCTCATCGCATGCATTACTGGCTTTCCTCCGAGCGAAAAGTCCAGATTGAGGAGGTGGGTTGTTGTCAAACATCGCATGAAGCAACAGTAATCCATTGCTCTCCCTTGCAGCCCCCCCCCCCCCTTCACCCTTGGGTGGAAGGAAGCAATTGTGGAGAGGAATACGCAACTACGTGCCTAGTTGCTCCAGATTTCCTGTCGTATCCGCATCCAGCATCTTGGAATTTTTATGTAAAGGGCTAGGTCACTTTCGGTCAGAAGGCGTCTCTCAAAAATATTTGGTGCGTCATGTATGTTTGGGAGCACATGTTGCATATTTATGTGTACTCAAACAAGTTAACGTGTACTTTACTTTAATAGGCAGAGTTCCGGCATGTCATTGCATATACATGTATGCACTTTGCTGTTTAGGTCAGATGATAATGCCTTATCTGTGCATCACCCGACCTCGTTTTCATGGTACATGTATTTCAGGGTTTTCTGTGAACAGAACCTGTGTCCAATTTGCAGAAACCGAAACCAGTAAGCACTGCAACGAAAACAACTAACTTAAAGAGTTTGAATTTGGTTGAAAAATAAAAGAAGTCTCCATGTGCATGCAAGTGTTCAAAAATGTAGGCATTGACATGATTTTGCTTAAAACTCTTTTGCTGAAAACCTGGTTCATTGCTCAGGCAAGCTTCCAGAGCGAAGCAAATTTGTTAAGAACGGTGACAAATTTCTATCGTTTGTCATGACATGAGCTTTGCTTTCACATGAATTGTGAACTGACCTACAATGAGCGCATTACATTTTGCCAACCATTCGGTAAACTTGAAACCTGATCTCATCACACATTTGTATGAGGACAGGCAGTGGTTCTGAAATCCTATTGGTTGCTATGCACCTTGACGATGTGCTTTACCAACACTCTGATTGGCCTTCCTCTCCAGTTCGCTTATCATGCTGAACGCATCACCTCATTCGTATATGAATGCATATATTTGAATGAAGTTGACCCAAACATGAAATCCAAAAGATGCACTGGTGGATCACAGACTCGAAAACTGCCCTCAGCAAGATTTTGGGGTTTTGCACAAACTATTCATTCAAGTAGCTGGCTGGGCCTTGTCTCTTTAAGGTGAGAGGAACTCCATTTGATAAAGCTATCAAAAGTTGCACTCGATATTTTTTCCCACAGCTGTGACATATTTTGGTGCCACAGAGTGTCGTAGTGGATAAAACCTGACAGTTTGGGTTAAGTATGACAAATTTATCAACAGTATAGAAGGTCTATTGGTTGGTGGGTGCCGAGTGTCTTTCTTTCACACGGACGAGAAAGCTACCGGTAATACTCCCAGCCTGATAAAGATGTGTGTGTTGAGGTCTGGTAAGATAACGGTATTTTGATTGAGGAAACAGGTGTTTCGGAAAGCGGAAAGGTTCTATGAAAGTGGAGGATGTACAGATGTCCTTATCTGAGATTCCATGGTGCATGCATTTGGAGTGAGGTGCAGTGTGCATATTACCTAAAACACTTTAGCATGCAGTACATACCGGTATTGCAGTGCGTTATGCATCTGTGAGCGCAGTTGAACAGTTTTGCAGTTGTTTTTGTTTACAATTACTGTTGGTGATATTTTTTTAAAGATAATGTATTCTCTTTTGTTATATCCTTTCCTGGGTACTGAAATGTACATGGATATGCAACAACAGTCAGAGCATCATCACAAAATTTCCAATCCCCATTTCCAACTTCCCAGAAACACTGTATGTTATTGTTGGGGCTGCTGGTAACCAACAATGCAATCAACCTTATAGTTGGCTGATCCCGAACAGTCAGCCAGACTGAATTACATGTACATGTATAGTCCGTAGGCGTTGGTTCGAGTGAAGATAGTCTAGCTACGGTATGGTTAACCCTAACCTTGCTTGTAGTTTACAAGAGTAAGACACAGTGCCGTGTACTTTCCTGAAGTCAGCGCTCTTCAACCAGGGAAGGTTCCCTGCACTCTGTCATTAATTCACAGTGGTTTACAACACCGGGGAACCTGACCATTGCCTCTCGCAGAGAGAACTTCGATATATTGATTTATCATGAGTGGTAAACAGTATTGCTCATACTTGGAATAAACGTACTCGCACACACAAAAAGCAAACGAGGAAGCCACCTCTAGATGATTGATATCTTAGGATCTGTAGGGCCTCATCTCATGGCCGGGACTTTGCCAGCCAATCCCAGCTGGCTCTCATTACCGGAAGAGATAAAGTTTGCATTATTCCGGTGTTTCTGCAATTAGAAAATTCCCAGGTGGTGTTATACAGACATTGAAGGTACCAGGTCATACAACTAGTTGCATGGTGCATGTATGTGAGAAGACCTACCACTATCTCAAACGATCGAGCCTCTTTCACATAGCGACTCACGCTGTTTATGCGTGTTTGGCTGCAGATGATTTTACTTTTTACACGGACATGGTGATTCAAGAATGTATGACATACATTGTAGCAAGTACCGTAATCCGAACTTGCCTAAATTTTGTAGCAAATGTTTTGGGACCAAATCCAGCTTGCACATTTACAATCGAATGAAGTATGAGCCAGCCTTTATACAGCAGTGTCTTTAATTAAATTCTGCTCACATATATGTGTCCGCATTGGATTGTACAATTGTCCTATTTGCTATTGTCTCGTTTGCACTGTGGGCTCCTTTCTTCCAACAGTGCAAGCAAAGAAAACCGTCATTTTGTCATTGTGGGCTTCTCACCCCCCCCCCCCCCCAGCAAGTTTAGGAAGCATGCTTTGCAGAATGAAACTCAATCAGGCGTGCCATACAATCTTTCATTTTCCAGACGGGCGTTACTTTGTCTGGATTCTTATGAAAAGGGTGGCTAATTCTTTAACCCCCACCCCCTCCAAAAAGGTAATCGTTTACCAGTTTGCTGAAAATTCATGTTTTTTTCTTCTTCTTTTTTCTAATGCAAGAGTGACGTATAAAGCATGGTGTCCTCATGGGTGTTCAGGCACTATATCACCCCTGCATTACCCAGGAGGCCTGTAGTGTGTACTGCCATAGATGTCAAACATAAGTACAAGGACCCTGTGACCTTACCGCGAACTCTTGACTCCCCTCCCCCCACCTTTTCTCCACAACACCCCCCCCCCCCACACACACACACTTTCCACCTGTTATCCAGTGCAGGAAACGGGACCGGGGATTAACTCCGAAATCCCTTTTGCCTGCTTTAAGACGAACCGGTTGTAGACTTGCAAAAGTCTTTCTCAGAATTCCTATAGTTTCAATAACTGGTTACTATGTTTTGGGGCTCTCTCCTTGGTGGAGAAATATAGTCCCATAGATCGTGTAACCAACTCAGTATGTAATGGTACATACATGTACATGTACAATGTAGATGTGAAAAAGTGTGCTGAGCATTCAGAATTTGCTTAGTTCATTGAGGCTATGTTAACATAGTTCAGCACTAGACTTGGTGCACACATTATGGCCATTTGAGTTTCATTGCCGCCGTGTTCTCGTGCTCATGTGCTCACATGTGTTCCTCTACCAAGATGCTATAGGTGTGCTAACCACATTTTAAAAAAATTGGTTGTGCGCACTCCCGGCAGATTTCAAGTCAAGTCCTCACATGTCAGTTATCAGAAGCCAGTCACAAGTTCTTCAGTCTCAAATCAAGTCGCAAGTTGAATTGTGCCCAAGAGACTTCTCTGTCCTTGTTCATCTGCTGACCATACTGTAGGATTGACTTGTATTTTCACTTGATGGACTTGTGATTCAAAGATGGACTTGTGATTCAACATGTGATGGACTCTTACGCTTCACACATGCTGTGAATCAGTGCATATCCTGAACACAATGGCCCTCAGGGGCATCTAGAAAGCACCATCAGACTGTTCCGAGAGAGTCTGCAGTGTCCCCAAGCCTCCATTTCAGCAACACTTTCAGCAGTGTCAGCTGCAAAAAAGCTGTCACTTTTAACACCCCCAGAAAAATGTGGGCATATCGCTTGTGATGACAGTTCCCCCCGCTTGCATTGTCACGGCGTGTTTTGCTCAAGTCCCTGGATACTTTCAGCAGCTGCAACTTTTCTCCTCAAGAGGAGCAGAGTTTGAACAACTTTGTCAGATACCTTATGTTATGTCCCATATCTGTGGATTATATTGGCCCCAAATGTACAGAATACATCATTTTTTTGAACCAGCTTCCAGGATATTAAGATCCATCCAGAGAGCAAAGAACAGTGACAGCTGAGAGTTATTTTTGAAGAAACCCTGTTGGCGGTGGGCTTGATTTCGCGACCGAGGTGCCATGTTCGATAGTCAAAAGTCTTGATGTGATAATTTGTACTGGCGTCATCGGAACTTGGAAGTTTACAGCTCTGTACATCATCAGAGCAATGAATCAGCATTAAGTTAATTTGTGTCAGATTTTTGGCAAGGAATTTGGGCTGGTGTTACATGTACATTGCGTAAGGACACTGAAATAGAACATTAATGTTTCCACGTGGCGAAAACCATTTAGCACTTGATTCTTTGAAAGCAGTTTTGAAGAAACTTAACAACACTTTGCCCCTCCTTTATTTTTCTGGAAACAAGAATTAAACACTGATCATGAAAAAGATCTGCACTATTTAGTTTCACTCCAGTTTTAAAGGTTGGCTCGTGTTTAGGACAGAAAAATGAATTGAAGCAAATTTCATTTTGTCTTGTCACAACAAGCATTTGCGCAAATTGAACACAATTTGACTCGGGTGAATTTTTTTCTGTGAATGCTTTGTGACAACAAATTCTTGTGCTGTCTGTATAGACAAATCCGGTTGCAGCCATTTTCTGCGGTGGCACCAGGCTCCCGTGAGTGGCACTCAGGTAGTACCACTGATCTCTATATAAAGACTGGATAGCGGATAT